CCAAGTTCAAACTTGTTTTTCTTCCTAATGGGAAGCTAATTTGGCAGTTTATGTTTTATTTTTTCCGACCATACACTGTGATCACCGTATTGAAACTCTGCTCGATAACAGCTCGCTGATGATGTGGACTGGTATAGTGAGTAATCTGTAAGTAATCTGTGAGTGCCTAATACTAAGGTGACAATTTATGTGTCTATCCACAGGATCTTTTGTATAGTGAGTGAATGAGTTAAAGGTCACATGCAACATAAAACACAACTTTGCAGATGCTGATACCTTTCGGTATGGACTTACCAAAACAAATCATCAAAATTGCAAATTCAACTTATAAAGTTGAAAAATAACGCGATGAAAAAACCCGTGCGAATTTATATCACAATATGTATCACAATACCGGTACTTGAATCACAATATATTGTATTCTGAATACAATTTATTTGCCAATACACAGTCCTATAAATAGGAGTGTTCAAGATTGGTAATCGAAAAAAAGCATCAGGAAAAAAAAGAATTTGAAAAGAAGAATCAAATTTTGCTAGGAAAAAAAGAAACAGGAAAAAAAGAATCAGTTGACAGCAGTTAAGACTAGACTTCTTTGAGCACTTCCACCAGACCTTGTTCCTTCTTGTACAGTTTCTGGTGTACATGTACCCATTCCAGCAAAGCTTCTTGCCACCCTTGTTGCTCTCTATCACCTCCATAATGTCTTACCTCAATCTTACATGCTTTACTCTTATATAGATATATTGGTACCACTATCAAAACTAATGTAACCATATACCAATTATACATGATTGGAAGCCAGTTAATCCCTTAACAATATCTCTTCCACTCTGGGGGCGGTGGGGTAGCCTAGTGGTTAAAGCGTTGGCTCGTCACGCCGAAGACCCGGGTTCGAATCCCCACATGGGTACAATGTGTGAAGCCCATTTCTGGTGTCCCCCACCGTGATGTTGCTGGAATATTGCTAAAACCGGCGTAAAACCAAACTCAGTCAGTCAGCCTTCCACTCTGCTGTTGTGTTTTGTCAGGGGATGATACACATACACTTCAAGATTCTGACCGTGATGACTCTTGTTATTTTAAGGCCTTCGCTCACATGACATTTATGTCTTTTAAGGTAATCTGTCATATATTTGTGAATATCTAATTCATATTCAGCTCATAAGACAATTAATAACTGTGAATAGTAAATGCCCACCACTTGTATAAGTTACATTTTAGTCATCAATATTGAACTAAACCCAAATTAGTGAAGCACAGTAATTAATTTCTATCAATAAATGATTCGAAAATAAACATTTTGATAGCAAAAGATGTCAATCTTTAAAGTTCAAAATTAGTTTCAAATCTAAATGACAGCACATCACATTAACAAGGTCTAACTATTTAAAAATATATTTTCTCATGATATGACCTAATAATAATTGTTCAGTGTCACATCAGTTGATGATTTTACATACTTTATTCATGAAATTTAGATTGTCGAAGGTAATGTTAGGTCTAATGCGTGACTAACTGACTGTGAACCCTTTCCATTTTCCAAGGGAAGTTTCAGATCCAGATTTACCACTTTAAAGGCCACAGTGACCATTTTCGTAATTCCAGTTGAAATTGTATTTGTTTTTTGTTGACAAAAAGTGATTGAAATCGATACTAATAATGTAGCTTCCATTTAGAACACCCATCTTCTTTTTTCTTAAAAAGTCAACAATGGGGATACTTTTAAGACAATCACCAGTTTCATAATTCCAGGTGAAAACTGATTTTTTGGGGGGTTCAAATGAATTTTGTTATGTTTTCCGACATATTTTTGTTTGACTGACAAGAAGTGATTGAAATAATATAAGAATAATTAAGGTTACATGTGGACAATTCTAATTTTTCAAATTTAAATTATGATTTTTTCAAATTTAAATTATGATTTTTTTCAAAGTCAACTACTGCAACCACAGAGGTAAAACCTTTTATAAAAGTTATGAAAATGACAACCTTTTCGGAAATTTTTCAAAATGACGAAGAGTAGATCCTTCTTTGAAACCAACGTTTCAGTTCAATCAGTATTAATTAAGTGCGGAGTTCAAGAATCGTCACATCATTGTCTGTTAATTTGTAAGATTCCCTCAACTCTAAGTCAGCAAGTCTTCTCTCCCGGTCAACAATCGATGTGAAAATGCCAGATCTACTCAGCTCGATCGTCTGGACACTTTCACCCTAGACTGTCCTCCCATACCATTTATGAAAAAACGTGGAATATCTATATATCTGGTTGTTCAGATACTTGTCGGCTGGCCTGACTCTGTAGCGGTATGTCGAGCCAGCTCGTCTGGCGTTTGACAACATCAGTGAACATCACTGGCCAATCAATCGCATCCGTCATTCGGACTGAAACATCTCTGTAGCTCCGACCCTAATTTCAGCGACTAGCCATATATATCCTTCGTAAATACTTACATTAATTTGAATTTTTTTTCATTCCCAGACGTCGAGGGACTTTTTTCTTGGCTTTGATTGAATTCATCGCGGGCTTATTTTTTTAAATGCCTTTTGATTAATGAGATTTGTTGAATAATGGTGGCAAGTCTCTCCATGCAATGGAAGTACTTGTTGTTTTTGGTAAAGAATTGTTAAAATACTCCAGAATCTGTCTTTAAATGTTATAATTTGTTTGTGTTGAAATTAGAAGTCGTGTTATTTTAACTTGATTATTGAATTAGACTGAATCTGATGAAAGATTTGTAGAAAAGGTAACACTATTAAATGTCAACTGTTTTCCCTGGCGTGAAATTGGTTATTTTCAGTTGTTAAGATAATGAATCTTTTTCTTTGCTTGTTGATAAAAATGAATTTGTTCCGATATCTCTTTACAAATGGCAAAAAATGTGCTGATTTAATGATAAGTACAATTTTAGTTGTAATGAGTTTTCAACGTTTTTGTACGTGTCTGAGAAAAGGGCTTAAATAGTTATTAACAGATCAAGCGAATATTGTAGGCTGTTACATGAAAAAAAAGTCGTTGGAAAGATCGGTTCCAGATTAGCTGTGTATGTACATTATTGTTCTAGTGTTCGGAGATAAAAACATTTTCTCCATTTCAAAACCAGAAAGTATAGTTATGATGTGTAATTAGCCTTGTGGGTGTTTCATCTCAAGTTCAAGTATTTCCCGACAGACTCGTAGTCGTTGATGGAGTCTTTGCAGACAACTCCACTGCAGTGAATGATGTGCAGAAGGTTTATAGGGGTTGCTTCTTTGTAACTCAAGACACATGTATAATTAACATATGGTTTATATGGGATTCCACTTTCTCAGTAAAGTACAGATTCTAGTTCTTCGGGAGCCACATTCGGGGCGGTGGGGTAGCCTAATGGTTAAAGCGTTGGCTCGTCACGCCGAAGACCCGGGTTTGAATCCCCACATGGGCACAATGTGTGAAGCCCATTTCTGGTGTCCCCCGCCGTGATGTTGCTGGAATATTGCTAAAAGCGGCGTAAAACCAAAACTCAGTCAGTCAGTCGGAGCCACATTCTCTGAGTCAGGCACCAGATTGCCAGCACACAAAGTCAGCCATCTAACCCACTCAGCCACCGCAGCTTCCATGGAAGTCTGACAACTGCTTGTCCACATCACATACTTTGTGTACACCTCTGACTCAGGGTATCAATTGTGGAAAGATAAGAATGCCCAATGCCATCTAGAAAGTGGTCAAGTGGAGCATATTTTTTGTAATGGAATATATTTTTTATACCACTTGAAACAGGTCCCCCCTACTCTATCCCTCCTGGACCCTACCCTACAAACCCCCACTCCATGAACCCTTCCAAGTTTTGGCCAGCAGTAAAGTATGCTGGTTGTAGAAGATGGTGTGGATCAGATGGTCAGCTTTGGTCACTTGGTTGCCAGATTGTCATGATATCCCAACAATATAGATCATTGCTCACCATGTCAATCACAGGTTTTTCTGGCCCAGAATGTGCAAGTCATATATCTGATGAATGAGGATTTCACAGCTTTCTGGATTAGAATTGGTCTGCAGTAACCTATGCTTGTTGTAAGAGGTGATCGGGTGGTCAGGCTTATTGACACATGCCATTGTGTCCCAATTACGTAGGTCAATGTTCCTGCTGCTGGTCACTGGATTGTCTCACTCGCTCACTGACAGGAATTAACGACAATACTGAATTTCTCTCCTTCCCTACATTATCAGATATGTCTATGAGGCTTTTCTGATGTGACTGTGTGCTAGTTTGACATGAATTGTGGGCTAGTTACATGCGAGTTGTAGACTAGTCAGATATAAGCTGAGGACGAGTTGAAGTGGACTAGTCAGAAATGGTCTGTGGACTAGTCAGTAATGATCTGTGGACTAGTTCGATATGATCTGTGGACTAGTCAGATATGATCTTTGGACTAGTTTGATATGATCTGTGGACTAGTCGGATATGATCTGTGGACTAGTCAGATATGATCTGTTGACTTGTTGGATATCATCTGTAGACTAGTCAGATATGATCTGTGAACCAATCAGATGTGATCTTTGGACTAGTTGGATATTATCTGTGGAGTAGTTGGATATGATCTGTGGACCAATCAGATGTGATCTTTGGACTAGTTAGATATGATGTGTGGACCAATCAGATATGATCTTTGGACTAGTTGGATATTATCTGTGGAGTAGTTGGATATGATCTGTGGACCAATCAGATATGATCTATGAACTATTTAGAAATGAAATGTGTTAAGTTATATAAAAACAGGGGATATAGGATAAAACTGTATACACATCAGAAGAAGTTGTGTAAATCTTTCTGTGAACTGTGGACTGTTCATGGACAGTTAGCCATGACCAACGGCGCCGTCTCCCCCTGCCTCTACGTCCACTACACCGCCAACGACTAAGCCCATTCATGTGTGGTGTGGCTATTACTATTAGTGCTATATTGGACACATATCACACGCGTGGTATTATTACTAAACATCGTGCGTTGATGTTTTTCCAGACATCAGTGAGACGTGGTCACTAGGAGGCCAGTCACAGCAGCATTCGGAGGAGCATGGTCAGTGGACGTACAATGGGAGACGACGTGCTGTCGGCACACTGGGCTGCTAATGAGGTGAAGAGTGAATCGCTTGATGGATGGACAGAGGAGGAAAGGAAGGACTGATGGAATTACTGGGGTTCACAAGAGATACAGGTATGTCATATTGAGCTGGTTATTTTTATTGTAATTTTTTTGTCAGTGACTTATCAGTATTGAATGTTTTTTTAGGTAGTTTCCTCAGTCTCGGGTTAATCTGTGTATTTTCCTCTCCTCGTGCTGTTCCCCTCTCTTCGTGCTGTCCCCACCCCTCGTGCTGTCCCCCTCCCCTCATGCTGTTCCCCAGCCCCACTCAATGAGCCACACCTATCTCCCACCTGAACTTATCAAACTCCTCCCACCTTCAGTTTAACTCCACCCCATTTTACCCTCACCTTAACCAATCCATGATCTGTATTAACTCAACTGTTCCCATCCCAGATTTAACCCATTCCCAACCCCGACAGACGACCTATTCCCCTTCCCCAGACTAAACCCATATCCAACCCTAAGCCTTACCTCATTTCCCTCCCTAAGACTCAACTCATTTCCCACCCCCATTCTTAACTCATTCCCCATCCCCAGACAACCCATGCCATTTTTAACCCTCAGACAAAATTCATTTCACACCTTCAGACAACCCATTCCACACCCCAAGCTTCAACTTATTCCACACCCCCAGGCAACTAATTCCCCACCACCAGACAACCCACTGCCATCCCTAGCCTCAACACATTCCCTTTTCCCAGATTCAACTTATTTCCAACCTCCAGAAAAAAAACCAACTCATTCCCCACCCACAGACAACCAATTCCCCACCCCAAATCTCAACCTGCCAGACCCAAGTCATTTCACCCTGAACCAAACTCCACCCACCCCAGTTTCAATGCCTCCCATCTTATCCTAACCATAACCTAGCTATGGTCCATTTAACCCTCCAGACCCCACCCAATTTCATAGTCAACCGAACAAAACTCTACCCCAAACTCACTTCAGTCCCACCCCAAAAAACCAATTCAAGTCTTAACCTCAGCGACCCCCTTCCTCAGTATCTCCCAAACACATCAACGTTCATCTCATCTCCCGACTAACACTGACAGACAAAAGACATGAATCATTGTTTTTTAAATGTAATTATCACGTTTGATATCCAATCATGACTTCAAGCCATGTTATCAACTGGGGTATGAGCATGTAACAGTTTATGACGAAAGTTAAAAAAAAAAAAAACCCCGTCTCGCCATCTTTGTAGATCTACATGATCGAGAGAGAAGGCAGCCAATATACTACCAACAATGTGTCAAGTTCGGACGTCCAATAAACCGATGCCCCCACACCATTCAGACAAACAATCACTAGCGCCCTGCCGTAGCGTGGCCAGCTCTCCCTTATGCAGCACTAAATCCTGAATAGTAAGCCCTTACGCTGCAGCATCGCTTTAAATCTCCCAACGTGGCACGTACCAATCACGAGCAATTGCTACTGCCTTTACCCCTCATTCTAGTGAAAAAACTCAACGACTACTCCATCCTTGGCCCATTTGTCAGCCGCTGATCGTGTAGAGGCCGTTACGAGTATTTCGATGTGACGCCTTTTCGTTGTCAAACAAGCCATCACCAAGGAACGGTATTCTTAGACACGTTTTTTTTCCCTTCTAAATAGCAACCGCTCGGTAAGATTTTCACCTAACTTAAAACGTGAGCTATTGTTTGTTGTGGCCGATAGGATACAGAGGCAGCGGTAATGGCTTTAAGTCGTTATCGGTCTAATGTGAACAGTCTCGACTCGAAGATTGATTTTACTGCCAGTTAGCTACTCGGTAAGACCCAGGAAGGAATTCGCCTATCTGTGATATCAGTCGTGGCCTCAAGCAATCACACCCTATTTCAAATTACGATATTTCATTATACAGACAGACGAAAATAAGAAAGTTATTTCTCCAGAAATTAGAGTTGGTAGTACTGATGATATGTTTATGATTGAATGAAATTGTATGGACAAATCTGACACACAGACGAGGGGTAAAACATCAATACTGGCTATCGACTCCCTGTCAACCATATTTCTGTGATTCCAGCCAGAGATACACCCAGCTGATTAGATATTTTGGTGTATAATGTTATTTGCGAGTATCACCGATTTGTAATGTTCGTTTTATAGCTCGGAGTCTCGTATCAACTAATAAAGTATTTTTTGTGAGTTTGTTTAACCAGCGAACCTACAATTAGGTGACTTCTGTGCTTTAGAAAGCGAGGCTGACGTCAGGTCGAGAGATATTAGAAACGGCAGTTAAGCGAATTAGTTTTGTTCTGTATAGGTTTGAAAGGACTTCAAGAGGATAAGGGCTGTTTGAAGGTCTGATTGGGGTTTTATTAGTGTTTGTGTTGCTATGGATATCTTATTAGTGTACGCAAAGGAGGGTTGTAACGCCCACACGTTTGCTTACTCACTCGCTTATTCACTCACTCACTCTTTACTTTTGCCTGAAATACAGAAATACGGACAACCTTGAAAAGGAACAACATTGCTCTCAACATGAATAACTAGATTAGCTGATTGATGTTAGATGACAGAACCCTGCCATCTTGTTGGAGTTTGACAAAAGTATGACCCAAAAAAACACACTCATGCTCACTCACTCACTCACTCACTCACTCACTCACTCACTCACTCATTAAATCACTCACACAATTTATCTCTTTAGTTTTCTTATTATTTACAATAAGAATCATCTGGGATAGAGAAGAATAGTTAGCTGATACTGCATCAAGGAACATTGACTCTCTCACTCACTGTATTACTTAAGTAATTACGTTTTGTTATCATTTACAACACTCACTCACACATATTCTGTTATATTTACAACAGATACATTAAGATAGAGCGATACAATTGCAATATTAAACAACAGATGCTCATTCACTATCTCACTCACTCACCCAACTCAATTACGCACCCAACTCACTCACTCACCCAACTCAATTACTCACCCAACTCACTTTACTCACACACACACTCACTCACTCACACACTCACACACTCACTCACTCACTCACTCATTCACCCAACTCAAAGCAGTTCTGAATTTTTTTTTTACAACAAAATCAATTAAAATAGAAAGCAGCCAGTAACTGTATATCATTATTTCTCATCAATTTTCCATCACTACCCCAGGTGTATCGCAAGTGTTCACTGACGCAAACAGTGCAACAAGGACTCGGCCACAACTGTGCCAGTAGAGTGGAGACACAATGTTTGCTACCGCGTATCCAGTGTCAACGACCTGGCGTGACCTACTTCCACAACATACACTCATTTCAGAATCTCAAAGATTGCATAGTTTTAGTCAAGGTCTCAATTTCAAGACAATTTCATTTCTAAATCAGAATTCTGATGATTCCTTGGAAGGCTTCTTGGCTGGTCATTGTTGTGTTTATGTAAGGCCTGCTGGACGTGGTAGTTATCTCCGCTAGCTGGCTCCGGCAGCCATTAGCCCACTGGCAAATATCAGCTGGGTGTAATGAAAACAATAGTGGCCTTGTCAGCAGCAGAGTCGCATGGCCTGTTCCTTGTGTAGTCATTGAGGGGGTTGTTTGTTGGGGTTAGGTATTGGAGATGGGGTTGTAAGTTGGGTTTAAGGTATTGGTGGTGGGGTTGTAAGTTGGCGTTAAGGTATGGGAAGCGGGTTTAAGGTATGGGAGGTGGGGTTAAGGTATGGGAGATGGGTTTCTAAGTTGGGGTTAAGGTATGGGAAATGGGGTTAAGGTATGGGAGGTGGGGTTAAGGTATGGGAAATGGGGTTAAGGTATGGGAAATGGGGTTAAGGTATGGGAGGTGGGGTTAAGGTATGGGAGGTGGGTTTCTAAGTTGGGGTTAAGGTATGAGAGATGGGGTTAAGGTATGGGAGGTGGGGTTAAGGTATGGGAAATGGGGTTAAGGTATGGGAAATGGGGTTAAGGTATGGGAGGTCGGGTTAAGGTATGGGAGGTGGGTTTCTAAGTTGGGGTTAAGGTATGAGAGATGGGGTTAAGGTATGGGAGATGGGGTTAAGGTATGGGAGGTGGGGTTAAGGTATGGGAGAAAGGGTTTAAGTTGGGGTTAAGGTATGAGAGATGGGGTTAAGGTATGGGAGGTGGGGTTAAGGTATGGGAGGTGGGGTTAAGGTATGGGAGGTGGGGTTAAGGTATGGGAGGTGGGGTTAAGGTATGGGAGGTGGGGTTAAGGTATGAGAGATGGGGTTAAGGTATGGGAGGTGGGGTTAAGGTATGGGAGGTGGGGTTAAGGTATGGGAGGTGGGGTTAAGGTATGGGAGAAAGGGTTTAAGTTGGGGTTAAGGTATGGGACGTGGGGTTAAGGTATGGGAGAAAGGGGTTAAGATATGGGAGGTGGGGTTTAAATTGGGGTAAAGGTATGGGAGAAAGGGTTTAAGTTGGGGTAAAGGTATGAGAGGTGGTGTTTTAAGTTGAAGAATCCTCCTTCAGAAGATCTTGCATTACACATTAGCAATTGTTTAGCTTGACTGAAACCATTCCTACTGGACTCAGGCTTCAGACAAGCGGATGACATCATAGACTGTCTCAGAAGCAAATCTACAAGTCATGAAACACCAGTCTAACATAGGCAGTATGTATTGTTGAGAACTGTCGGGAGCTCAGTGTCGTCCTAATAGCGAGACCAATGATCGCATCATCCCGAGATGTAGTTGCTAACTCCACGAGGAATATACAGACAACAAAAATGTGTTATTTATGCAAAAATGATCCGTGCTTGCATAAGGAGGTGTTTGTAATGAAAACAGTGTGTAATGTAAATCTTGTGCTAAGCTGAAGTGACAAGTACCTCCACAGGATATTCCGGTATTGTGCTGTCATCGAGCTGAGGCAGAAATTAGCTGCAGTCCTTATGACAGAAATACTTAATGGAAATAAAAAGAGCTTGTAGAAATAGGTGATTAGGGAGGAAATTGTTTACACCTGATGTCATTGAGGGATGATTGGACATCACTGAGATAAATATCTGTGGCATGGCGGTCTGTGAACGCTTGTATTTGTGGCGGTGGTTGTAGGATCCGTAATACATGGAGGGTAGAATTTGAAGAATTCTAATTGTTGACCAGA